CATGACCACCGTCATCCTCACCATCATCATCATCATCACCACCATCATCATAATAATAATCATCATGTTTAGAATCATAACCAAACTCATCATCCCTGTCACCATCATAATCATTATCATCCCCATCATTATCAGCACTATCACTATCACCATCACCATCACAATCATCGTCATCACCACGATCGTCATCATCACCATTACCATCATCATCACCATCATTATCATCACGATCATCATCACCACCTTCGTAATCATCGTGATCATTAACATCATCATCATCATCATCTTCTTCATCCGTAGCCATTTTGGTCGAAACGTTTCCCTGGCGCTTCGACCTTGGTCGCAGCCGACGGGGAGCTCGAGCTGCTTTGGGAGGCACAGGGCCTTCCCGATTGCTTCCACAGACTCCCGACCAGGGGCCCTCCAGTGGGTGGGAGTCATCTCTTTCGCATCCAGTTTGGCAGCAGCAGTTTCATCTTCAGTGCCCGCCCACTCGATCGTGGGCAGCTTCGCCATGGCGCTCAACACATCTCAGTCGCAGTTCGAGCAACTGATGGGGAAGATGGGAGAAATTCAGAGCTCCCTGGCCATCCATGACAATGCCCTCAACACGGTCACAAACGAGATCGCTAACATGAAGGCCTCCATGAACATCACCTACCAGGAGCACCAGTCCAAGTTCGAGATCCTCACAGCCAACATCTCCGCCATCGCCCAGGGGCAGCCGATCGACGTCGAGGCGATGGGCACCAGCATCCAGTTGAATTCCAGGGTAGAGGCTATGGAACAGACGCTTTCTGAACTACGACAGCAAATGGAGTCTCGCTCGTCGTCAGGGGTCTCTGGTTCAACTCGTGCTTCTTCGTCTCCAGCCGTTGCTTCCGCCGCTGCTGCTGTTGAAGACTCCAATCCAAAGCGTCGATGGATTCAAGGTTTTGGTCGTCCTCTGCTTCGTGGTGAACGTAAAAAAACATTGGGATGCTCTCTGTGCTCGACTCCCACAAGACCTGCAGGAAGGAGCCGGTCCACAATTCGCAGGAATCGCCATGCGCTGCTCTGTGGAGTTCACTTCAGAAGAATTGGCCCAGAGGTTCACCACTTTCTGCAAAGACAACTCGTCGATCATCGCCTACTACGATAAACGCCGCAAGAAAACGCTGTCTATTCGTGTTCGCGGGGACACGCCTCGGGACGTTCGAGAGGTCCAACGCCTGTTCTCGCCGCTGTGGGTCGTCACGCTCAACGTGCTGAAGCAGAAGGGCAGCTGGTCCGAGGAGTTCAAGCTCGGCGCCAACGGCTACCGCAAGGACCTCAACGTCACCTCCGCCGATGAGATGTGGGTGCTGTTCCACATGAAGATCGATGCCAAGGGCATCGTTGAGTACGTTCCGAACCTGTCCGACCTTGCGGAATGGGGCATCTCTGAGGACGAAGCCCGCAACCTGATCAAGGCAGCCGAGGAATCCGCTTCTCGGCCATCTTCTTACTTCTGACGGGGTACCGATCCAGTGCAGCAGACCAGTACACCTTCGACGTCGTCTTCTTCCTCTTCTGATTCTGTCCCCGCTTCCTCCTCCTCTTCTGCCTCCTCCTCTGACGACTCTAGTAGCGAATCCAGCTCTCTCGACACTGCCAGCGCTAGTGCGCGAGCTGGTGCGCTTTCCCAGAGTGCTTTCCTCCCCTCAGCTCACCTCTCGGCCTGCCCTTGGAATGTACGCACGCTTTCTGGACACCTTCAGGGATCTAGAAGTTCTCAGAGCCTTAAGTTCAGTAGACTCACGTACCTCATTCAAGGACATCAGGTTCTATGTTTGCAAGAGACCCATGGACACATAGGTGATGAAGAGTCTATGAAGCGTGAAGTTCCTGGCGTTGAAGTCTTCCCGAACTTCCACCGCTCTGCTGCATCGTGGGGTTCTCTGACTGTAATTCACAAACGTTTGCTCGAGCTCTTCGATCATGTCGCGCACGACATTATAGTTGCTGGTCGCATCCACTCTGTTCTACTCTCTGGCGTGCTTGGCTCTCTCCAAATCTCTAACATCCACCTCTGCCCGCAAGCCCCCTTCATCGAGAAAAAGAGGCAGCTCTCTCTTCTGGCGTCGCAAATGCCCCCGCCCGACAAGTGCACGGTGCTCCTGCTTGGTGACTTTAATTTCTATGGAGTTGGAGAAGCCCGATATAAATAAGCAGCAGATCGTGAGCACTTTCATCCCAGCTCTCTTGGCAAGTTCTTTGCGCAGAAGTTTAGCAACTTCGCTGAGTGCTACCAGGGCACCCCCACACATGCCGCATATGAAGGGTCAAAACTCGTCTCAGTGGGTCGTCTTGATCGTATATACACCAACATGTACACCACTGACTTTATAGACACGCATACCATGGCCAGCTCTCAGTGGTCTATCTTTGACTCGAACCAGCCGAGCGATCACTGTCCTGTGTATGTGTCGTTTTCGCCGCAGGAGCAGGCCGCTAGGCCGACCACTCCCTCGTGGGTTAG